GGCTGCCAGTCAGCCCTGCACTGGGGAGGTTCCAGCAGAGGAACAATGAACCTTGGGAGCATCTCCGTCTGGAAGAAAGACGCCCCCAAGTTCTTGCCCTGATGCCAGAAAGTCCAGTTTCTCCCTGTATGTGTCTGGGTCCCCCCGAGTCTTGCCCGGCACTGGAGCTGAGAGCAAGCGGGAGCTTGTATCTCCCTTCCTATTAAAAAAGTGGCGCACCTGGGTGCCAGCCTATTCTGTGCCTCCACACCTCCTACCAGTCTCAGTGCACTTTCTTCTTTACCTTTCTAGTTGTAGTACTTCCACTCAGCCAGCTTTCCTGTGGTTCTGGATGATAGTTGTTATGTATTTTAGTTGTAATTTTGATGTGGTTGTGGGAGTCAGCAAGTACAGGTGTTTACCTATGCCGCCATCTTGGTTCTCTCTAGATATGTTTGTTATACAAAATTCAAAATTACAGGTAGAATTAATGTAGAAAATAAAAGTATGCCATATCACTCCCAGGTAATTTACACCAAATTTGGTATACATTTTCTAAATATTTTTCTTCTTACATATGTCAACATTTTCTTGCCTATTCTTTCTGTAAAATTTAATATATAAAAGAGATTATTTATACTGCTATGCATTTCTTTTCTCACTTTATCTTAGGCATGATTCTATTTTTATCTTTATCGATCTATCTCATTCTTTTAAACAAATGCAAAGTCTTTTATGGATCTGTTGGTGGGGCAAAATGGCACTAGGTGTTAGACCGGTGGAGTCAGACTGGACCTGGTTCAACAACCTTGGGTCCTTGAGTTCTGGCTAAGAAAGAATTAAGAGTCTAGACTCAAACTATAAGAGAAAGTTTATTTAGAAAGTTGCAGATGTAGAAGAAATGGGCTCAGGAAACAAGTTACAGAGGCAAAAGAGGGGCCCTTGGAGCCCAGAAGGAGAGAGGCAAGAAAACCTTTCCTGGAGGAAGGGGATTAAAGAAGGAGGTGGGTAAAGGCATGGGAGTTCTCCATAGAGAGAGCTGCGTTGAGTCCTCCTTCTTGAGGATTTTTATCTGAAGGTCTCAGGGGAGGATCCCAATAGAATATTCATCAGCTTTCCAAGTGTGTCCTTTCAGCGTTGTGGTTTCTATTGATCGGTTGGCATCAGGTCAGGGAGGTCATAGTCAATGCTGCTGGTCCTGATGTCAGCCTTGGCATTGCTTGTCTGGCTTTGATGCTTTTCTCAGTCTGGAGCTGAAACACAGCTGAGACCCAGATGTATTTGATTTGGGTCAGAACCTCATTGTCCTGGGGGCTTAATGCTTAAGAGCTATTCTCTGATCCTCTTGTTCATCACCCCCCTCAGGGGGTTTCACTTGTACAACTAGCAAAGGCCAGAGGAGGAAAGGTCACAGGGAGGGTCAAAACTGCAAGACCAGCCCTGACCGGTTTGGCTCAGTGGATAGAGCTTCGGCCTGCGGACTGAGGGGTCCCATGTTCGATTCCGGTCAAGGGCATGTACCTTGGTTGCGGGCACATCCCCAGTGGGGGGTGTGCAGGAGGCAGCTGATCGATGTTTTTCTCTCATCGATGTTTCCAACTCTCTATCCCTCTCCCTTCCTCTCTGTAAAAAATCAATAAAATATATTTAAAAAAAACAAAACAAACAAACAAACAAACAAAAAAAACACTGCAGGACCAGTGATATGAAAGGTCAGGGGGTCTAAACTTCATGACCATGCATATACTAGGGGAGGAAAGGTTACCCTGGGGAGAGGTCCTTGTTTTCCCATGAGGTGCGGGCCTAAGCCATCAGTTGGACATCCTTAGCGCTGCTGCGGGAACGGGAGAGGCTCCCGCCACTGCAGCTACTGAGCCCCGCTTCTGGTTGAGCTGTGCTCCCCCTGTGGGAGCACACTGACCACCAGGGGGCGGCTCCTGCGTTGAGTGTCTGCCTGCTGGTGGTCAGTGCATGTTATAGGGACTGGTTGTTCTTCCGTCAGGCTGAAACTGGCTCTCTGACATCCCCTGAGGGGTCCCGGATTGTGAGAGGGCGCAGGCCAGGCCGAGGGACCCCACCGGTGCACTATCGGGGCTGGGGAGGGACCGTGGGAGGGCTCCAGGGCGTGTCCAGCCTGTCTTGCGCAATCCTGATTGGCTGGACCACAGCAGCAAGCTAACCTACCGGTAGGAGCATCTGCCCCCTGGTGGTCAGTGCACATCATAGCGACTGATCCACTGGTTGACTGTCTGCCTCCTGGTGGTCAGTGCACATCATAGCAAGTGGTTGAGCAGCCTTAGCATATCATTAGCATATTATGCCTTGATTGGTTGAATGGACGACCAGGCGACCAGACACTTAGCATATTAAGCTTTTATTATATAGGATTTATTTATTTATTTTTGAATTTATTGTGGTGACATTGGTTCATAAAACCATACAGGCTTCAAATGTAAAACTGAATAAAACATCATCTGCACGCTGAATATGGGCCCATCACCCCTAGTGAAGTCCTGTATAATGTTCTACATTCATGATTTGTCTGTTTGCTTTTTTGTGGTGTCATTTAACTTGTTCCTTTATCTCCTTTGTTTTTTTATAAATGGCGGTTAGTTCTAGAGTTGTGATGTCATTCAAATTCATCTTGTTTGGTAAGAACACTTTATAAATGGTGCTTGAAATCAGTGCTTTGTGTTTTACAAGCATCACAGAGCCTAATTTTTTTCACTTCTGGTCATACAGATTGGTAAGGATTTAACAGTCTGATCTCTAAGTGAAAAATTTCCCCTCAAGCCTTCCTCTAGTCCGGTAGTGGTTCTCAACCTTCCTAATGCCGCAACCCTTTAATACAGTTCCTCATGTTGTGGTAATCCCCAACCATAAAATTATTTTCGTTGCTACTTCATAACTGTAATTTTGCTACTGTTATGAATCATAATGTAAATATCTGATGTGCTATATGTATTTTCCGATGGTCGTGACCCACAGGTTGAGAACTGCTGCCTAGTGGCTTCATAGCATGGGTCAAATATTTCAGTAGGCATCACAAAATGGACATTTTCTAGTTACTCATGTTTTAGTATTTATTTATTTTTTTTAAAGTGGTCATTTTTATTTATTTTTAATTTTAATTTTTTTTTATGCCCTTGACCGGAATTGAACCCGGGACCCTTCAGTCCGCAGGCCGACGCTCCATCCACTGAGCCAAACCGGTTTCGGCTTATTTTTAATTTTTGTTAATCCTCATCAGAGGATTTTTTTTTTTTTAAAGAGAGAGTGGAAGGAAGGGAGAGAGACAGAGAGAGATGATTGCCTCCAGTAAGCTAAAACCTAGGTACAGAATCGAACCTGGACCCTTCAGTCTGTGGGCTAGGGGGACACTATATCCACTGATCCAAACCAGCGAGGGCACTCCTATTTTATTTTAATGAAATTCATTGCTTTGATTATTTTTTTAAACAAAAGAAATAGTATACTTGTTTTATTTACATAAAGGATTTTATGAAGCAACATGTACAGAATTATCCTAATTTTCTTTTCAGTCACATGAGTGCAGAAAGAGAAGCTATTCATTGTTTTATTTGCTGATTTGATGATTGATTAATTGTTTTGATTATTAGGGAACTTGAGCATCTTCACGTTTGTTGGCTATTCAGTACTTCTTTTTTGAATTGTTCATGACCTTTTCTGAGTTTTCTATTAAATTGTTTTCTTTTTCTTTTCCATTTTTGAGAGTTATAGATCATATATATTAATCTTTTTTACATAGTGTAAATATTTTTTCCAGTTTGTAATTGTCTTCTGCATAGAAGCTTTTGATTTATGTAGTTAATTGTTATATTTTATGGGTTTTGTTTCAAGACCTTGAGATTATTTAGGGGAATAGTTTATTTTCTTCCTGGTAACTTTTTTCACATTTGATTTTGATCTGTATGAAATATATTTTGCTTATGGTATAAGAAAAATCAAATTTACATTCTGCATTTAAATAACTAGTTGTCCCTAAGCACTTTGTCTTCTCCCCATTGAATTGAGATGCCACATTTATTATGTTAAATTTGCAAATTTACATAGCCTGCTTCTAGACTCCATTGTGGTCCATTGATGTGATAACATTACCACAGATTTTTAATTATAATAGCTTTGTACTGTGTTTTTAAGGTCTAGCTCACTATCATTAATTTTTTTTTCATTTGTACTGATTTTTTTCACACATATGTTCTTCCATTTGAATTTTACAATTAGTTTATAATTAGTCCCATTGGGATTTAAGTCTAATGGTATTAAGTTTGATGGAACAGACTTTAAAAAAATTGGATTTCCCATTTGGTTATATAGTTTTCTCTATTCAGATCTTTTATATTTTTCAACTAAAATAGTTTCTACACCCTTCTTAAGATTATTTCTAGGCATTTTATATGTTTAGTGTGGTTATTTTGTGTTTAGTCACAAAATACCTTAATTGTGATTATTGGATTGTGAATGAAGTTTTCTTCATTTTTTGCTCCAGTATACCAATCATGCTTTAAAATAAGTATAAATAAAAATTGAAATGTATATACTCAAGTGTGTAAACTTTAAAAATAAACTTCAACTTTTATATCGCTTATTCATTAATGCAAAAAGTAAGAAATAGTTAAGGAATGCAAATTCTTGGGAAACGATTAATTTATAATTAGTGGTTTATAAAGGATATAAGTAATAAAATAGTACTTGAAACTAATAAATTGCTGTTAAAAATATAAATTCTGTAATGAGATTTTCTTTTTGTATTCTAGTGGGAACTTAATTAGTATGGTCTTTTATTAGGAAGAAATATCCCTCAGTACCATTTTTTAGTTTAAAGACTTGTTAAAACTATATATTCTTTTAACCTGGTGCCTTAAAAATTATAAAGGAAGAATACATAGGCTTTGATATTGGCTTGCATTCTATTTATGGATATTGTAAATAGAAGTACTGTATTCTTGGCAGATAAGACATCACTATTAATTGTTTTTTTTTTGTTTTTCATATTACAGGTTTTGCAGAAGACATCAAATTAAATCAAGTTCAAATATCCCTTGTGTCCCCAAAGACTTACTGATGATGTCTGAATTTGTGCTTCCAAGATTTATTTTTTGTCTCATTCAGTACTTAAGAGAAGGCTATAATGAGCCAGGTATGTTTAATCTTTTCTTTGTTAGTACTCTTTTTAAATTCCAGATAACAAAGTTTAGCATTAATAACAGGTGCGTTTTTTCGGATATCTTATTTTTGCAATATTTTTTATGAGGAGACTGTGAAATATTAAGTAAAAACACACTAAATATAAATTCAATAACCTTATAGTTGGCACAGTTGGGCACTGTGTGTTCCTGTAATCAAAGATGGTTTTGATAAAATTTATTAGCCTTTTGCATATGAGGAAATAATCATTTTATAGGGTTAAAGTGACTCTATTTGCAGTTATATTGTGATAGAGCAGAATTAAGAAGTCCCGGAAAAATTTGAATTTAACTTAGATTTTTAGAAGATTAAACTACTCTTTCACCAATATCTATAGCTATCTGTCTATAGATTTGCCCTCCTCCCCCCTTTTTTGTAGGGGTCTATATATTTTTGTTCCTCTCCATATATAAGAACTTATGAGAGAGTCAAATGGCTCACTCCCATGTTTCTGGTAGAATGTATGGGTGTAAGCAACATGATAGTGTTAAAAAGAGAAAAGGAACATGCAAATTATAGATATTCTTTTTACCTTTTAAGATTTATTCATAGTCTTTTAAAATATACTTTAGTTAAATATTTGGATTTAGCTATTATCTGTTAAAGTTTTCAGTCTGACATTGTGGATTACAGATATCCACTAGTGATATAAAACAAATTTATTAATTTTTTGTTGCTTTTTACTTTTCTAATGATACCTGCATTTTTGTCATATAAGGGACAGCATTTTGCATTACTTTTAGAGGTTTTAAATTATTTATGCTATAAATAATCTTAGATTTAATTTGAAACTATGGCACACATTTTTATCTTCTGTATCTCCCCCATCCTTTAAGTGTGAAGAAATATCACATAGCATCTTTATTATTCCTAAAGCTATTATGTTTTCTTCATTGTGAGCGAACCCTTTCTTATGTCTACATTTTTAGCAAATTATACAATCCTTTGTTAAATACTTCTACTCTTCTCAGAGTATGTCTTGTAAAATACAGAAAGAAATATTATTTTGATTTAGTTCCAAACTAGTCTTGTCTTAGGAATGAACGAACCAGAGACCATCTGGGTTATTGAACTTGCCTTCTGTACGATTTCTCAATAATCAGAATAATTCAAACAAAAGTACATTATATTTATTTTTTCCTGTGGTGACATTTAGCAGTTATAAAGGTAGATAACGTAGATACATAGCTTTGATAATTATCTGTTACCATTGTTGAAAACATAAAGGAATGAATGGAAGCACTTTTTTGTCTTAAGATAAACTTTATGAACTTAGATTCATGATGTTTTCCTCTCTATATAACTATTTATGCTTAGCATATATTTCTTGTGTCTGTGTGAAAAAAAAAAAGACTTTAAAATTAAAGAAAGGACTTGAAATGATCTAATCTGTGGTAATGGAAGTTCAGAGATCTTGTGGTTTTACAGTTGCCTTGAATTCCATTTTCATTTCACCCTACAATCCTCAGACCAATGTCAGAACTTGTGTTAGAGCTCTTAGGAACCAAAAATTAAAGTTAATTAAATATTTACTATTTTAACTGTATAAGTCATTGGGGGAGATTATAAACATGAATAACATATACTATTAATTTTCTATTGAGAAAGTAAGGCTTTTGGTTTGGGTCTTAGGACTCATCATTGTCTAGAATTCACAGATTATCTTTGAACTAGGTGTGAGTTAGTAACTATGTCTTAATTTAGTTTTGTTTCTCAGTGCCTATAATGGAGTAGATGCTGAATTAATCAATGAAATTGATGTCCTTTTTACTGGGCACACCGGACCCTGTTAGCTCCCTTATATGCATTCTTCTTTTAACCAATCATAGCTAAACTCTAAATCTCTCTATTCACTTCTTTCTTTTAGACCTCAGTTTCTCTAAAGCATTTGTTTTCTTTTCCTCTTAAATATTCTTTTTCAGTTACTATGCAAGTTTCCCTTTTCTTCCTTTATCTCTACTAGACATATATTGCCTGGTATTTTTAAATTGTTTTAGTAAAAACATTCATGATTCTGAAAACAGTTATTTTTCATGTTAGTTGCTTTGACCTCCAGCTAACACAGGTCTGTATTTTTGGAATATGATAGAGGATGTGTTATTTGCTACACAGGTTTAAATTTAGAACTGACATAATTTTGTACAATGTATTTGATTTTGGTCTTGTTTTACTTTTTTCTTAAATACTATGTAATTTTGAAATGATCTTATGATTACATTTATGTATCTGGAAGTATAGAGCCCTCAAATTGAATGCTTCTTATACAAATTAAATAATACCTATGGTATCTTTTTCCTCATTAACCTTTTCTTATATGACTGAATACCTGACCAAGTCTACTCTAGGCTGGGTGCTTGGTGGATACCTAATTTCCACATAGAGTTTTTATATTAACTTTTTTGATTATAAAATACTGTCACCTAAGTCACTATAACTTTAAATGAATAAAATATTATTCTTATCAAAATATTTTAAAGAAAGTTAACTATAATGTTTAATTTTTTTTTTTAGCAGCTGATGTACCATCAGAAAAAGACCTTAGCAAAGTTCTTCAGCTTTTGGAACCTCAAATTTCCTTTTTAGAAGATCTAACTAAAATGGGAGGAGCGATGCGGTCTGTTCTTACTCAGGTTTTGACAAACCAACAGAACTACAAAGATCTGACTTCTGGTGAGTAAAGTGTTAGAGTAGAAGAACGTTAAAGTTTACTTATATTGTATACTTATTAGAAATTGTGTATTTTAGAACTTGAAAGTAAAATGTAGATTTTTTTCATAAAGCTGGATGTTATTAAGAATATCTGATTTTATGGATGAAGAAACGAAGCCCCCTAAAAATTAAATGACTAGTTTAAGACCTTATAACTAATTTATTTTGAAGTTGGGACTAGAACCTAGGTCTCTTAACTTTTTTTTTTCCTTTTTGTTAATCCTTACCTCAGGATATTTTTCCATTGATTTTTAGGAAGAGTGGAAGAGAGAGGGAAAGACAGAGAGAAACATCGATGTGAGAGAAACACATCGACTGGTTGCCTCCTGCAGGAGCCCTTACCAGGGCCCAGGCTAGGGAGGAGCCTGCACAACTAAGTACGTGCCCTTGACTGGCATTGAACCCAGGACCCTTTGGTCTGTAGGCCCACTCTCTAACCACTGCTCAAAACCAGCTAGGGTGTTAACTTTGGATGTGACATAATCATAACTATATTCTTTCTTCCTTCTAACAAGAACAACAACCATTTTATGTTTTCATCTTTGGTATTCTAAACTTTTGGGTTTTTTTAGGATTTTATAATAATGTAGAGTTTAAGTTTTAAAACTTGGAATTGTTGAGTATGTTTTTACATAGTATACTATACTGTTATATAAAATACTTTAGTTTTTATACTTTTCATTTAGCTCAAATTCATAGTATAATAAATATATCAATTATTTAAAAATCTTGTTATAAATATTTTAAATGGCATTCTTTTTTTTTTTTTTTTTTTTTTTTTTTTTTTTTTTTTTTTTTTTTTTTTTTTTTTTTTTTTTTTTTGCTTTTAAGATTCTCTCTTTGTCTTTTGCTCTTGGCATTTTAATTATGATGTGTCTTGGTGTGGTCCTCTTTGGATTCCTTTTGTTTGGGGTTCTCTGCGCTTCTTGGACCTGTAAGTCCATTTCTTTCACCAGGTGGGGGAAGTTTTCTGCCATTATTTCTTCAAATAGGTTTTCAATATCTTGCTGTCTCTCATCTTCTGGCACCCCTATTATTCTGATGTTGGTACGCTTGAAGCTGTCCCAGAGGCTCCTTACACTATCTTCGTATTTTCGGATTCTTTTTTCATTTTGCTTTTCCGGTTGGGTGTTTTTTGCTTCTTCGCATTTCAAATCTTTGACTTGATTCTTGCGCTCCTCTGGTCTGCTATTGGGTGTCTGTATAATATTCTTTATTTCAGTCCGTGTATGCTTAATTTCTAGTTGGTTCTTTATCATAGCATCGAGGGTCTCATTAGTTTTCGTGACTCTCTCCTCAAGTTTATTGACAGCTTCTAGCACATTTTTGCAAGCCCTCAAAATTGCGATTTTTAGCTCTATATCCTCCATTTCTGTCATGTTTTTTTGTCTCCGCATTTTTTATGCTTTCTTGGTGCACCCCCTAGTGGTCTTTGTGCGCAGTCTTGTTCTAGTTGAGCCTTGATTGTTGTAGTTAATACTAGAGGGATTTGACCACCAGGCCGACTGGCTGTGTGAATCAGCTGTGTCTGCCGCGGAAAACTTCTGTCCTCTGGGGAGGTGCTAATCTAGCCTTTGCCTGAGGCGATCTGGCAAATGGCTCTGCGCAGGGCTTGGGCGGGGCGGGCTCAACAGGGCGGGCGGGCGGAGGGAGCGGTTATGGCCCCTCTCAGTCCCGTTCCCAGAGGCTCTGCTTCTCAGAACCCCCGGAACCGCTGCAAACCTCGGAGGGAAAGCTGCCTTCCAACTGATGCCAGACACTCCCGCTTCTCCCGTTTGGGTCCGAGTCCCCAGCGATTCGCCCGTATCTGGAGCTCAGAGTCTGAGACTCCCCCCTGACCGAAAACGACAACCGCGCTCTCAGCCACCAGCCCGCTTTGCGCGCGCACCTCCGCACCTGAGTTTTTTCCACACTGCGCCTCCTCTGAGCCTCGGTGTGCTGTTATTTTTCCTTCTAGTTGAAGAGTCTCTCCTCAGCCAGCCTTCCTGTGGTTCTGGGTGATGTCCGTTCCGTCTTTTAGTTGTATTTTTGAAGTGGTTGTTTGCGGCAGCAGTCTCCGGTGTTTACCTATGCCGCCATCTTGGTCTCTCCTCTTAAATGGCATTCTTTATGCTGGTTCATAAATAGCATGTTTTGCAAATTGAAGTTTGTCTTGTTTCTTGGTATAATTTCCATGTTTATTGTTAACCATCTGTTATTTACAGATAGTCGGATATATTTATTTCTTCAACAAATACTTAAGTATCCACTGTGTGGTTTGGCTTTGAGCTAGGTATTAGAGCTTGGGTAGAGAAGGTAATTAATAAACCTGATAATCCTGTTTCTACCCTTATAAAGCTTATAGTCTAGTGAGTGAGATGACATTAATAAAACCCTCAGACTAATCATTAATTGTAGTGAATGCTATGAAAGGGTAGGACAAGTGTATACTAAAGAGAGACTGATTTCACTGATGGTGAAGGTGAGGAAGCTTCACAAAGGGTGAGGGGAGTTGGGTGGTAATGGGATAGGACTAGATTTCAGGTAGAGGACATTTTTCTCTCTGACTATTGGTCAGTCCATCCCTTATGCCATAAACAACATAAAACTGGTTAAGTAGTATTGGGAGACACTGGAGTTTGTTAATACCTCAGGCATCTAGCTGAGACTGAAGGCCAAACTTAGAGTAAGGGCTGGTGTAGGTCAGCCTTAATGAAGCCTAAAGCCCTGACAGTATCTGCAAGGAAGATAGATTATGGAGATGATTCCTGTCAGCTCAGAGGGCATTTTGAGAAACTTAGGCTTTCCACAGATCTGTTCTTTACAAAAGTTTTAAACCAAACCTTCATGAGTTCTAGGTGATCAGGCTATTAATTGAGAGTTGTCTGGAGGTTCTAGCAGGGGAGCGCAGCTACAACTATACTCTTGACTGAAGACCGGTCCTCTCCTCTGAGGGGAAGGTCATCCTCTTTGACCAAGCGTGCAGCTTCGGGAGGGACACACATAGATGGTGAGGGAGGAGGGGGACACCTGCCTAGCCAGCCAGATCAGCCCGATCAACCCTTGCGATCAATGGGGTGACTGACAGATGTTGCAGCCAGATCGCCCTCACATCCATGATCAGGCTATTAATTGAACTGTTTTCTAAAATAAAATGAATACTCTTCATAGGAAGATAATAGAATCCAGAATCTTGTATAATGTATCATTAGAATGTTCAATATCACCCTGGCTGGTGTTGCTCAGTTGGTTGGGCATCATCCTATGTACGAGGAAGTTGCCGGTTCGATTTCTGGTCAAGGACACAGGCCCGGGTTGAGGCTCCAACCCCAATAAAGGGTGTGCAGGAGGCAGCAGCCCATCACTGTTGCATTCTCACATCATGTTTCTCTCTCTCCCTCTCTAAAAAATAAATAAACTGTTCTTTTTTTTTTTTAAACAATGTCCAATATGTTATCAAAACAGTCAGTAGAAACTGACCTTGCAATAGCCCAGATATTGGATTTAGCAGGTAGACATTAAAGAAATTATTACAAATATGTTTAAGAAATTAAAGAAAAACCTGTTCAAATAATTATGATCAAAGAGATAAGGAATCTTAGCAAAGAAACATAAATAATAAAATTCTAGAACTGAAAATTACTGTAGAGTGCAAGAATTTAATTGAAAAATTTACTGGATGGGTTTAGCAGTAGAATAGACAAGGCAGAAAGACTTAGTGAATCTGAAGACACATCAATAGATTATTTAACCTAGAAAACCGAAAACACTACAGAACCTCAAGGGCCTATTAGAATAAGATGACCAAATATCATGACAGGCGAGTGAGAATTGGGGCATTAAAAAACATTTGGAGAAATCATGAATACAATTCCCCAAATTAGATGAAAAAATATAGACTTATTGATCCAAGATGTTTAAAGAACCCCAAACAGGATAAATATAAAGAATATCATAATACAGTGTACATGTGGGAATATTTATGGGTGAAAATGAGCTTATTTTTAAAAAAGAAATAAAAAAGGCTAGTGTGGTTGAAATGAAATGAATGTTATGGGGATAGTGGTACAAAGAAAGGCTACTATATTAGGCTAGCTTTCGATTAGGTAGATGCTCATGGACCATATAAGATTTTATATATTCATTTTTCTCAGGCTTGTGAGAGATTGATGAAATGTATTTTGTTAACTAAAAGGTATTACAAATCTATCTCATTGAGATAAATGTGTGTTTTTTATTACTCAGGAGAAATTTAGTCATTTCTTACATAGAACGTTATGAGTTCTTTATTCTTTGCAAACTAATTATGGTTGTTTTTAATTCCTATCTATTTAGTCTGTGTTGGAGGTTTTTTTTTTATACCAGCTCAGAGATTGGACAGAGATTTAAAAAACAAAACAAAACTGTTCTATTGCAGTTATTGAGGCTAGTAAAGAGAGGAAATAAAACTCAGCAAATACTAAAGAAACTCATTTATATCTTTTTATAATCAGAGAAGCTGAGATCTTAATTTAAGATACACAGTCTGCCTAAAGAGGTGGCAAATGCCATGGTAATTTGGCTTTCAGACAGAGAACGATTTTTTCTTTTAAGGAATTCTTAAATATTAGTGTTTTCTTTTACTATTATTCCATCTTCCATAATATATTAAAAACAAAACAATAGAAAAATTGGCAATAATTAATAAGCTGAAATGCTAAAGTGAAAGTTTTAGGATTGTTCAATTCTAGAACCTAAACTTTTCAGTATTTTTTGGAATAAATTAGTTTTAACTGATACTTCTGTTGAAATTATACTTTTAATACCTTAAATATGATAATAAAACAGGAGTTAACAGTAATTTCAGTTGTAATATTTTAAAATTTCACCCAGGGATTATCTTCTCCAGGAAGTCTGTCCTAAGTACTCTGCTTTGGCTAAGTTGGTTGCACAGTATTAGGAGAACACAGGTTATCAAACCAAATGATGAAGTCTACTACATAATTGTCTTTTACCATATTGTCTTTCTCTAACACTAATTCATTGAAGGCAGGAATCTGCCTTATTAATCTTTGCCTGCTCTGTGCCTTATATATAATCTCTGGCATATTTTAGATGTTCAGTTTACTTAGTAGGTTTCACTATTTGTTATAAATGTGCTGTACATTCTGGGATTGTTAATGCCAAACATGAGTAAAAAAGGTGTGAAACTATTTTATGTAATTCACGCTAGGGTTCTCCCTTCAATAGCATATTCACCTATTTATAGATATATAATATATATATTAGTGACTGAATTGACTGTACTTATATTTCAAATGGAATATTTTAATCCTATTTTAAATTTGTTTTAAATATTAGGTCTTGGAGAAAATACTTGTGCAAAGAAAAGTCACGAAAAGTACCTTATAGCTTTGAAGAGCTCTGGACTTACCTATCCTGAGGATAAACTTGTATATGGTATACAGGAGCCATCTGCTGGCACTAGCACTCTGGCAGTTCAAGGTTTGTCTAAATATGTAATTTGGATAATGATAACTTTTCTGTATTAAAACAAACAAAATAACCCCCTTCAAACTTTCTCATTATTGGAGAAATTTAAATAATGCATCCTTTTTTGTAAGGAAAGTAATAAAAGTTTAAAGATTTAGAAGCAAAAGTGAATAGATTAGCCAAAGAAGAGAAAGCATTTTTCTTTTTTTTAATACGTTTTTAAAAATATATATATTTCATTGATTTTTTACAGAGAGGAAGGGAGAAGGAGAGGGATAAAGAGTTAGAAACATCGATGAGAGAGAAACATCGATTCAGCTGCTTCCTGCACACTCCCTACTGGGGATGTGCCTGCAACCAAGGTACATGCCCTTAACCGGAATTGAACCTGGGACCCTTCAGTCTGCAGGCCGACGCTCAATCTACTGAGCCAAACCGGTCAGGGCTGAAAGCATTTTTCTTAAATGGAATTTGTTTAGTTTATTAAGGTTCTGTTTCTAACTAGTAAAAAAATGCAGCAGTTGTTATATTTAAGAGTAGCCCAGAATTTTAGTAAACCATAGTTTAAAACTAAAAAGGTTGAGGGTAAGGTTTTGGAGGTGTGGAGGAATTGAGCAAAAAGGAAAAAAACCAGGGAAAAAACTTCTGGACGGGGCAACAGTGTGGTGATTGCTAGAGGGGAGGGAGTTGTGTGGAGAAGGGGGATGATAAATGGTGATGGATGAAGACTTGACTTGGGATGATGAACATACAATACAGTGTACAGATGATGGGTTGTAGAATTGTGTACCTGCAACCTGTATAATTTTGTTAACCAGTGTCACCCAAATAAATTCAATAAAAAGGGAAAAAAATAGAGATACTTTTGAAACACCATTTGTAATGATTATATTTGGGTTTTCACTGGGATTTCCTATTGAAAGTATAAAGTATATAAAGTATTAGATCCAAATTTATTAAAGATAAATGTTGAACTTTGCCAAGATAACTGTTAGAATGAGATGTCTTAATATAACAAAACTTAGCTTTTGATATTGTGATGTAGCAAGTAAAGCATTATGTAACAACTATGAAGGGCAATTTTTTTTTTCCTTTTCAAAGGTTTTGCAGGTGCAACAGGGACATTGGGACAACTAGATTCTTCAGATGAGGTGAGATTTACAATTTAAAACTTTTTAAAAGTAGAATTTAAAAAGTTTTAAAACTACAGATTTATGGATATTATCTAGTTTAAATTCTTAATTTTGTAGACAAGGACACCGATACTCAGAATGGAATAACTTAGCCACGATCATATAATTACTTAGTGACAGAACAAGTACTACTACAACTAGATTTTTATTTGTTTATAATTAATTTCTCTTTTAATAGTTTAGAAGTGGGAGATAGAGATAGAGATTTCTCCTAGGAAGGTATACCAAAATTTATCCAAATTGCTGTTATAAGTACAATGAAATTGTCTTAAGAAATTTAGTGAAGTCCAGAGTAACTTATTAAAAGAACTAGAGGCCCGGTGCACAAAAATTTGTGCACTCAGGGGGCGGGGGGCGGGGGGTCCCCCAGCCCGGCCTGTGCCCTCTCGCAGTCTGGGACCCCTCGGCAGATAACGACCTGCTGGCTTAGGCCTGCTCCCGGGTGGCAGAGGGCAGGCCCAATCCCTAAGTGCAGCCCCTGGTCAGGCTCAGAGCAGGGCCGATTGGGGAGTTGGGGCGCCGCCCCGTCATGCACAGAGCAGGGCAGATCGGGAGGTTGC